GATTTCAAATCAGTTATGTTCGGCGAAATATGTCAGAAGTCTCTATCATATGAAATATCTAGCGTCTGGTTATTCTAGTCTACATAGTATTTATTGCGCATACTCTCCCGACATGAATATACCGTTGAATGTCTAGCCTCGTTCTTCGAGTCCCTTGTTAGAATGGGTCTGAAACGCATTATGGTACACGATTCGTGTACCAATGGTAAAATGTTTATTTTGTCTTAAATATTGGATATCAGAAGCCCATCTTTCCCTGGTAAGATCACAACTTCAATGTTGATTTAAAATGACAAATAATTCGTGTTTTCAATGTCGAAGATTTTGGACGATATTGAGTTAGAGACTTAGCTACTTTAAGTTAAGAATTTACTCAAAATTATTCGCCTTATTTGAAATACAATATAGCCCTTTATAAAACTTTTGTTGTTTTAATGTATTAGATATATCAATAAGAAACTGTGTGCAAAGTTTGCTGTTTCTGGATCAAAGATATTTCTCATAAACAGTGATTGAAAGTTGGGTAAAGTCTGAGAATGCTTTGTGAACTCGACGCCTAGTTGTATAAGTAACCCTTTTAAATAATAGATCATTTTCAGGATTATTGGCCATGTTTATTTCTCCCACGATCTGTGTACTGTTAAGTCCATATTTGCCTAGAACTATTATGTTATTAATGTCTGACATAATATGGTTTCCTATGATGTATAAATTTACATACAGATCAAAGACCCTGGCTCGCTAGCCTGGAGGACCCGTGTTCGACCCCTGCATTGGCCGAGAAAGTTCATCGTGGTTTCCGACGTGGTTTCCCCATTGCCAGTGGTTTGCAGGTAAAAGATATAAGAGTAGGCTATAGTGCCGCTGCCCGGGCAAAATTTCCCTCATAGCACACTTTGTGGCGTATGCCGTCTTTATTAGCCCAGTCGAAACAAAACTGTAGGACGTTAAACCCCATTTCATTTCATTTGTCTTCGTGTAATAACTGTTCCTGTGGTTACCAGCACAACAATTTCAAGTCGCTAACTCAATATCTTCTACATTTAAATCAACATTGATGTTGTTATCTTAGCATCAACAGAATGCAAGAATGCTTTCTAGTGCCAAACTACCCCCCGAGATGACTAAATATTGGGGTGATTTAGTCAAAGATTAGTACAAGTCAACGTTCCAGAATATCACATTTTATGGTATTCTCGAACAATGATTAACTCAATGATTAGGCTAATCAAAGTTTATAAAAATCTTAGTTTAAAATTTAGTCAGTTTTCCAGAATAGGACAGGTCAGAAAATTGGAGATTAAATCTATGATTAACCCTAATCCACTTTCGAAAATATGAGCTTAAGCATGTAGACGAATCGAAACTAAATATAAAATTCAGACATTGAATACCACTTAACGAGTAATTCGCTATTCGTGATTAACATCTGATCTATAAAGAAACCGTATTAAATTAATTTCTATGTCATAGTTTCTTTTGTCATACATAATTAATATCATGCTCTGTTGAGCGGATCAAATGTGAATCTGGGATGAAAAGCGCCCGATCGGTGTAATATGTTCGGAATCAACGACAGTACGCACTTTACATTATAACACAACCACTCTTTAATACACTCCACTGAAAAAATAATTACAACCACCCAAAATGAAATTATTGACAACGTGTAATGAACAGTTCTAATGTAGTTCTTGTGTAATTTTAAAACCTTATCCACAAAGGAGCAGTAAAATATACCAGATTCTTGTTGTCTGTATTTCTAAAAAAAATTAAATTTTACACATAGGAAATAAAATCTTAAAACGTGTAATTAAATCATTCAGATAAAACAAACTCATTTATTCTATAGGCGGATAATGAACAAAACAAACGGCAATGTGGTCATAAAAAGAAACAAAATGCCGACAAGAGTCCACTGAGATTCCTTAATTCTGTCTCTTTACCGTGTAAATCAATGGATAAACGAAATTGGGTTGAATGTCCTATAAATGACAAAGTATAGCTATATATTGATAGAAACTGGAGGTATACGTGGGTGCCACACAAACACTCCCCGTAATCGATCCCAAATCGTACATTCTCATTCACCGAATGACTGCTGTGAACGCAATTTTAGCTGTAGTAAAATGTCAGCAATTGGAAAGTGTATTCGTAGATTACGTTATCAGAAAGTTTACTGCCTGCGATTGCCTCATATTGATATTTTAATATCTACTTTGACTAGGAAATGGTGACATAAAGAATAGGAAACCCAGAACTCGTCACCTATTGTTGGTGCAGACGATTTTCCGAGTAATAGTGAAACTAAGGCATCCCTTATCATATATTTAGCCAGAAAGGTTAGATAAAAGTAGATACAGCTAGAGCTGATGGCAGTCACACACTGAGGTGTGCTAACAAACTATAATGATCCAGATAAACTGAATGTGAGTAGTCGGTAAGAATACGGCACGCTTCTAATCTATCATGCAATCGAGGACTACAAGGACGGAAAACAAGTATACATTATTTATACAAGATACTGATGTACTATGAATCCATATACACCGAGATCGCTTGACCATGGGTCACGGTAGTGTACGTCATTTTATCAACTTGCAAAAGATCTACCAATATCCGGGGGGGGGGGGGCAAATCTGCTGCTATTTGTAAATCTGCATGAACATACAGGTTGTGATACAACCTAACTGGGTGTCGTCCAAAACAAGAAAACGCATTGAGAGTATTTATAAAAGCTTAAAAGCACTTGGAGAAGGTCCAGAACCCACACCCTTTGTGGAGGAAGAAATAAGGTGTTTCTCACTTCACTCATACAACCAAAAAGTGTAACAGGTCACAATGAGACTGACCACCAACACCGGGTGTCCGGACACAGTACATTCGCCGTGCATAGATGCAGAAAAGAAATGATATGGGGTTTAACTTCCTACTGTTCGGCGCATACATATATAAGCGAGTATCTGGAGACGATGGTACTGAATCCGATCATTCGGCTAACTTCGTTACCATTGACACCAGATAGTGTAATATCGTAGAGGCATTGTAACTGTGGGGCATCAAAGAAGTCAGCCATTGAAGATGATGTGTGTACCATGAATAGATGCCCTTATCAGAAACGACAACTGTCATATGTCGGTAAGTGTGGGCACTTTTCTCAGACCAGCCCCGTTCCCTGAGACGAGAAATCTGTTGTTTTAGTATATATTCGGATGTCCATTTTATCCATAAACTTCTTATAAATTGCATTCACTCTTTATGTTTTTCATTTTGTTGTCATTTTAGATGTGAAGCAGACGAAACATGTGGGAATGAACTCTTATCATCATAATGGTTACCTACACTGTACCTAGAGACAATAACGTAGTTCCAAGAGACACAGCACTGTGCCAAGAGACGTTAAAGATTCGAACCATCACTCAAATTACCCGTGATGTCAAGGAAGCTGGAACGAAAGAAACGGTTACTTTTTGTCCGTCCTATGAGATCGTCATACAGCCAAATGCGTTAAAGGTCGTACAACACTTCCTATCCAACCCCCAATCATCTTAGTACACGCAGGCTTACTATGTAGAAAAGCAAGATTAATTTCGTATGATCTGTGTGGCGAAAAACAAGTAAATATACCATTGTAACGCCAAAATGACCATGCCGGGGTGAAACAAAAAATATCTTTGCGAAAAAAATCAATGGCCCTTGTTAACAAAATATTTCAGGGAACTATTACACTTACCTAGTAATTTGCTATTACCGGGGAAAGTCAGTTTACAGACTCGAATTGCCTAATAATTCGTAAGCGTCAACCAGTGAACCAGACGTTGATATCTTAGCGAATTCATTACTAGGTAACGTCAGCGGAGTGGTGTTTCTATATGCCACTATTTGACGCTCAACAGTTTTAAGAACATAGTTCGCAAGATCCCCAACTTTCAATATTTAAACCTCGATTATACGGAAATTGTTCCCATTATATACTTATACTTTTTTTTCTGTCATTGTAGCCGAAAACTGTACGCTAGTATATTTATTTTCTGTTCTGGTCAAGACTTGTCGAAGGAATACTATAAATCGTTTAATTCAACCAAATTCAAATATAAATGTGAGAAATAAATCCTAAAGAATAATACAAGCAAACATGATATTGACATCATGTAAAAACAATGACAGATTCTCATAATCGATACTAAATATAATACGAGAAAAAAAATAATTCCTTCGAATGACACAAATCTAAGATTAGTTTAAAATGGTTAGCAATTCTTGTTTTTGATGAATGACAGCTCAATATACCAAATCCGTAACATATCTATATTGTCATGGGAATGCACATGTGATTAACACATTACGGTATTTAAATTGGCACTACTGTCAATACTAATAATTGCGATTGAATGCAGCCAGTCATGCATCCAATTAATGAGTTCTTCAATACGTCATATGTTCTTTTAATAGGAAAGCGAATTAGAAAGCAATCAATGGAACGGAATAGAGTATACATATCTTGACGTATAGCATAAATAAATCTGAAAACAGACTTTATCTGTATCTGTGTCTAAACGTTCAAATAAAATTCTTGAATAATGACAGTACCATGAAAACTGTTTCGGACTGTTAGCCTGGCGCAGTGGAAGCCAATAGTTGATCAAAGTGTTCTATTTGTATAACTTGCCCAAGCGGTTCACTTTTTTGTCTTCTGATATAATTACTCGAACGACTTTACTAAAAATATTCAAACCTGTCATGGGTTATTTGCTCTGATGACCTTAATTAGATTCTAATTTTGGACTTTTATTCCTTTTACAGATTTACCATTGCTCGGAAATCCGAATTACTCGAATGAAAATCAGTGGCTGTAATTGTTTTGTAATATATTATTATTTTAACGATATCAGACTGACGGCAGTTATTGGATACGTGGTCGCTAAGATAAATTTTTATTTGATTATGAAAAATCTATACGATTTGTTTTCTGGTTTTAAATTGGTTTTAATGTTACCTACCTCTTGTTCCAACATACGTTTCTTCAACAATACCGGGGAAGGGGTTTCCAGTTGTTAAAGCGATGTGAGGTTCATCAAACGTCTTACGATCATTGATAGTTATATTATACATTTCTGATAACTGAATTAATTTCTCTGCTGTGGTAGTTTCCTTGTGAGAGGAGCCAACAATAAGAGTATATTTTCTCCAATTAAAATGTTTTAATAAAGATATAATAGATTTTGTAACTTGAGAAGCCGGTGGATATGTTCGAGCAAACGTTGGGTACAACGATTTATCGGATACTTCATAATCAGCACATTTCTGAAAAATTAAAAAAAAGAAAGTTAAATATATGAGAAAGAACTTCTTTTCTGCAACAGTTTCTTCCTGGTTTTTTTGTCACCTATTATGTTGGCTGATTGGTATGTATCATGTCGTGATTTTGTGGTGTCGCCCGTCATAAGGCGACAACCGAACAAACCGAAAATCACGACAATTTTAACCCGACACCACAACAACCCGACAACCCGACAACCCGACATTACGACATTTTAACATTTTGATGTCGGGTTGTCGTGGTGTCGGGTTATCGGCCAAAATTATGTACACTGATCCTGGTTTTGGTCAAGGGTCATTCGAATGTTGACAAGGTTCACAAAGTAAAACAAGAGCCATAACTCTAGAAGTCATTGACGGAAATTGCTGAAATTTTATAGACCTCCGTTTCACAAATTAAAATGATGGATATAAATTTCATACATATTGGATGACAACTTTCATTAATCGAGCATTAACAAGGTTCAACAAAGTGAAACCAGGGCCATAAGTCGAGAAGTAATTAACGTAAATTGCTAAAATTCAATAGGCTTCTTCGTTTCACTAATTTAAATAGTGCATGTACATTTCATACAGATTGACAGATAACTTTTGATGTTAGAGCGTTCACAAGGTGCAACAAAGTGAAACAAGGGTCATAAATCTAGAAGTTATTAACGGAAATTACTGAAATTCCATAGGCTTCTGCGTTTCACTAATTCAAATAATGCATATATATTTCAGAAAGATCGGAGGATACTTTTGGCGTTAGAGCGTTCACAAAGTTCAACAAAGTGAAATTGCTGAAATTCAACAGGATTCGTCTACCAATTTAAATGACACAGAACACATATAAATTCCATACAGATTGGCACATAACTTTTGATGTTAGAGCGTTCACTAGATGCAACAAAGTGAAACAGGGGCCATAACTCTTGAAGTAATAAACGGAAATTATTGAAATTAGATAGGAGTCTTCATCTCACTAATGTAAACAACATATATCAATTTTAAAACAATTAGATGATCACTTTTGGCGTTAGAGCGTTCGCAAGAAAGTGTGGACGACGGACGGACGGGGGCAACGGCAATATACGTCCACATTTCCATGTGGGCGTATAAAAAAACTATTATTATTCGGTCGCAAGTCTACTGCATAACCGACTGGTCTTTTAACCTGATAACTGTAGCATTTTATAACATTTTGGTTTCAAACTACAATAATTTCTGGCAAAACATGAAATGAAACAAATTGAAATGGGGTTTATAACACCCTACTTTTCTGTTCCCCTCGAACACCCGCATTTAAGGCCACTGATCTACATTTGAGTGAATTTGAATCCCGTGCAAAGGTACCACTACAAAAAATGGTCTAATTCCGTTCAATATTTACACACGATTAAAGTTACAATTTCATATTTTCTAAGAAAGTCAAAACATAATTATTTCTATGTCTTTTGCTCAATACGTTGTCAACTCACAATTATAGGATCGTAGGTTATTTTTCTCACACTTACAAATCTTCACACCGGAAATAATAACACAATTACCTCCCAATTATCTCCCTTGTTTTCCTATTCCCCACCATGGAATAGTTATCTTCAAACGTTTGAATTTGAAGTTGAAAATGATATTTTTGCCAATTTCTCAACTGGCAATAGTGAATTTAGGATCAATAGGATTATTCTTTAACAGGGTAGGACTGTTTATAGATACCATCTATTTTAGGGCTTTATTTTAATACATTTTAAAAATATAACTTAAAAATATGAAATTTTAACTTTAACAATCAGGGCCATCTATAATTATTAGGTAAAGTTGTCTGCTTGATCTTTTTTTTAATCCGATTGAATCCATGAAACAGCCATATTGTTGAGTCAATTAGCACCCAATGATGATTTATGTTTTTGTCTTAAAGATTCCAAGTGATAAATCGGAAATGTTACTAAAACACATAACTTTCATGGCTTTAAGCATATTATATTTACTAGTCTAGTAGTGAAGTCACGATAGATGGTTGTTAAAAACACATACATTGAAACATGTCGGTTGAGTTCTTTCTCTTCTAAATGTCTAATTGATGTCAAATCGCTTGACAGTAGTACAGTGCTTGTAAACATAAAATAAAATTGTAATGGACAGTTCACATTCGACGTTTCAGAGACAATGTCGTTACTTTACAATATGTCTTTACTACACAGCATGACGAACTCTCGACATCGATTCATATGGTCATTTTTCTGTCATTTCTAATTTAAAAAGAATTAGTTTGTCTTCTTTTCACGGTTTAGAACAAGCATTATGCCACTGATCGACTACTCCTCATTCACAGCTTAATAATAATATAATAATAGTTATAACTAGAACTGCGAAGCAGTAATGACGGGTTTCACCGGTGCCACGTTACCCTTGAACTTATGTCACTTCCGGTACCAATGAAACCGTTAAACAGGTTTCCACATAAGCATTGCACACATGAAATAAAATGGACACAGAAACAACCAAATCCAGCAACCAATTCATTTGCTTCATGTCAGTGATCCTGTCAAAATTACATTACTTCCGGTGATAATGAAAATGTTAAATTGGTTTATGAAATCAGAAATAGCATCATCACATGTTGAAAATTTTATGTAAATCCTATAATAATTGCCACCTTTATAGACCAAAAACCTTGAAAAATGACTTGTAGAAAATCGCCTATTTCTCTGCAACCGTACAAGTTAGAAACCATTTTGAGGTATCTGTATGATCGAATGAGTTCATTCTATTTGTTGATTGGAATCAAATATCATAATTTTAAAAACATTACAAATCTGATTCATTTGAATAAAATATCTGTTTTGAAGGCTAAAAATACAGTTTTTGCCAAAATGACGTTACTTCCGGTGATAATGAAAATCTTAAATTACTTGTATGAAATCGTAAATGGCATTATGTATCACACAGTGAAAATTTCATGAAAATCGAATAATAATTGACACTTTTATTGACAAAAAAACCTTAAAAAGTGACCTGTTGAAAATTGCCTATTTCTCCGCAACTGAACAAGTTAGAAACCATTTTGTGATATCTATATGATCGTAAGGGTTCATTGTATTAGTTGATTTGAATCAAATATCAAAATTTTAAACAAATAACAAATATGACTCATTTGAATAAATTACTGGTTTCGAAGGCTATAAATACAATTTTTGCCCAAATTACGTCATTTCCGGTGATATTGAAAATGTTAAATTGGTTTGACCTAGTTAAAATTGACATTACACATCAAATGGTGTCACTTTTATGAAAATCGAATAATAATTGACTCTTTTACAGGCAAACTAGCGTAAAAAGTGACTCATGCAAAATTGCCCATTTCTCGGCAACTGCGCATATTACAAATTAATTTTCACATACATTCTCTCCGTATAGATTATTGCTACGAGTTTATGAAAGTTACGAAGTAATATTTTAAAATATGAAAACGCTGGATGGGTTGTAAATAGCTTAATTTTACACCTTTTTTCACCTTTTAATCGAAATAGCCCGAAAACGGAATCGAAATTAAAAAACATGGTCCCAACATTTTGTGCGCCTTTAAAAGGCGCACAATTTCAGTTATACCAGATTTGAAAAAAATAATATTTGCTTTCGAAAAATGGTACCTAACTGTCAAAATTGTAGTTTTTTGTCAATTTACGCCACTTCCGGTGCCGACAGATAACACTATTGGTAACAAAAAAAATGACAATTGAGACAACGGGGCATATGAACTTTGTTTTATACAAATCGAACAATAAATAATTAATCTAGGACTGAAAAACTGAATTAGCCAATGGGGGCCAAGGAAAATTACCGAGACTCGTTATATTTGTGTAAAACACGATTAAAAAATATTCATAAATAAAAAAGTTTTTTGTAAAAATTTAAATTTTCTAAATTTAGCGCCTAATATCTGCGAAGATTTGCCGAAAATCAAAAATCAAAAGTAGCGTAGCTATGTGCCCCGTCTCCGGCTATGCCAAAATACATCGAAAGTTAAAATCCAATGATTATTGTTAAAATTACTGCAATATTTCTAAAAACGATAGCTTCGGTGATTTCGGACATTTCGCATTGTCGCAGAACGTTCAAAATAGCTTTATCCTCTAAGTCACACCCACTTTTCCGATAAAACCGAAGAAATCGTAACGATCCGACAATCAGTTGCTGAGATCTACTCAAAACAAAAGAAGAATAATAATAATAAGAACTAGAACTGCGAAGCAGTAATGACGGGTTTCACCGGTGCCACGTTACCCTTGAACTTATGTCACTTCCGGTACCAAAATTACATTACTTCCGGTGATAATGAAAATGTTAAATTGGTTTATGAAATCAGAAATAGCATCATCACATGGTGAAAATTTTATGTAAATCCTATAATAGTTGCCACCTTTATAGACCAAAAACCTTGAAAAATGACTTGTAGAAAATCGCCTATTTCTCTGCAACCGTACAAGTTAGAAACCATTTTGAGGTATCTGTATGATCGAATGAGTTCATTCTATTTGTTGATTGGAATCAAATATCATAATTTTAAAAACATTACAAATCTGATTCATTTGAATAAAATATCTGTTTTGAAGGCTAAAAATACAGTTTTTGCCAAAATGACGTTACTTCCGGTGATAATGAAAATCTTAAATTACTTGTATGAAATCGTAAATGGCATTAGGTATCACACAATGAAAATTTCATGAAAATCGAATAATAATTGACACTTTTATTGACAAAAAACCTTAAAAAGTGACCTGTTGAAAATTGCCTATTTCTCCGCAACTGAACAAGTTAGAAACCATTTTGTGATATCTATATGATCGTAAGGGTTCATTGTATTAGTTCATTTGAATCAAATATCAAAATTTTAAACAAATAACAAATATGACTCATTTGAATAAATTACTGGTTTCGAAGGCTATAAATACAATTTTTGCCCAAATTACGTCATTTCCGGTGATATTGAAAATGTTAAATTGGTT